TCAGCATAAGCATCAACAACAACAGCAGCAGCAACAGCTATGGGCTCAGATACAGGCTGCTTTTGCTCGACCATCCGACAGCCCCCATCAATTTTGCTCTCAGGACCAGAAATATCCGCGGCACCAGCATAATAATGATAATAATACTATCAATAATAATAACAATAATAACAATAATCAGCAGCAGCAGCAGCAACAGGCAGCAAAGGCCTCGATTGTCGAACATGTCGGTGATGAAGCGCTGGACAGAAGACGAGTAAGAGGCCTTTCTGCCAGATCCGACTTGTCGAGGGCTGGAAAGCAGACGAGTTACTGTGGCAACAGAGGTCGCCTGTTGCCAAGTGAGGAGCTGGAATCTGAGGGTCCGGTAGCCGAGGGAGGAGAGGCAGACTTGGTGGACACGGCGAATTGTTGTCGAGTTCACGAATCTGACGGTAGACGGTCACATCGAGCCTCGCGGGTAGATCTCTGCCGAGGTCCGGGCCTTCAGTCGAGCCGACTGGCGACCGGCAGTTCTCCTCTACATTCCAATAATCTTCATCGCTCACCGACATGCCAACATGACAGCGAGTTTACTGTCTCCATGGCTCCCGGCTCGCTTTGGGACTCGAGCAGAGAGAGCCAATTGATGCTGGCCCCTCCACAACCGACCGATGCCTCAGACGTCTACCCAGCACCGATTTTGGATGGTGATGATCCCAATGGTACCAGTAATCCCGATTATGCCGGCATGTTTTCGTCACATGCTCGACTTCACACGCACTTGCAGAGGCACCGAGTCCCCTCACAAACCAGTCAATTGCACGCCGGCCAGTCAGACTATCCTCGACACAATCAGCACCAGCCTCAGCATCAGCATCAGCATCAGCATCAGCATCAGCGCCAGGATCAGCGTAAACAGCAACTTTATCCAGACTCGCAGGACGAGGCGCCGGGCTCGAGGGGATCTGGATTTTTGGAAGCTGTGCAAAGTGATGTTTGCATTCTGCGTCGGCATAGCGACAATCCGTGCGGTCCTTTGCACTTCAACAGTCTGAGGCCGATTTGTGGCCATCGAGACGAATCGCTGGCGCCCCACATTCACTACTTGCACGGTGAGGACAAAGGGCAGATGCGCCCCATATCGGTGCTGTATCAATCGCAGAGTTCGGATGGACAGCAACAGCCTCGGCCTGCCGATTTCTGTCGACAATACCAACAGACCATCAGTCTGGAGCCGTCTCTCAGAGGAAGATCCGCCTCCTCGCATTGGCCCTGCCGACAGCCGTTCGGCAAGGCCGTCCTGTCGCCTGGCAACCGGGAATTGGGTTGCCTTGTCCCTGCGCCGTCGGACGCCCAGTCAAGCCGCGATCGAGGCGGCCTCGGCCACGTCCAACCGGTCGAGGAGGTGGGCAATTTGCGTTCGGCCACGGCTCATCTGCCCTCGAGAAGGGGCGGCCAACGGCGGCCCGACTCCGCCAGTCCGCTGTACCCACGGGCGGGAGCAGGCAGTCCCGGCAGTCCGAACAGCCCAACCTCGGCACGTGGGCCCGTTTCAGCCGAGGCGGGCCGACGCCTCCGCCGCCACGGCAGCCTCTACGCCAGCCGCCTCGGCCGCGACGTCTGGCCGGAGCCGCGTCGGTCCGGCCCTCCGACTGGCGGCGGTGACGGCCAATCAGCGTCTCCGCCGGACTCGAGTCGCCACGGCCTAGTCGGTCCCACTCAGGCGGCTGGGCCGGCTCGCTCGGGTCAGCCGCCATCCCATTGGCTCGCGCAGCCCGGCCTCACGGCCTGGCGCTATTCGCACCATCTCAAGCCGTTGGACGCCAATTGGATGATGCATCGGCACTCGCAGAGCCTCGAGGCCGTCGGCGCGGCCGGCTTCAGCGCCTGCGCCCAAGCGGCGCCGCCTTCACACGCGCCGCAGCCGGCACAACCGGCGCCCCCGATGACGTCATTGGCGGCCAGAGTCCGAGTCCCGTTCGGCCGGCACAGTGTGGAGGAGGAAGCCAATGCGCTGGGGAGTGGCGCGAGCGCGGTCAGTTGGACCGAGTGCCGACAGCCGCGGGCCGGAGCCAGTCTAGTGCTGCGTCGTGGCGGCCGGCCCCTCGAATCCGTCGAGATTGGACCCGAGAGTGAGCAGACGTCATCACAACCGGCCAGCCAATCACCGGCTTCCCGACGCAATTCACCCTCGTTTCTCACCAAAGCCTGGTGCGCCAATTCTGGTCGTCTCACCAACTTCTCGCGCCTCCTCACCTCGGCCTCGTCGCTGGAGCGCGGCCAGCCCCTCCTCATGGAGCCGGATCCGCCCAGTCTGCAGGCCTGGCCCTGTCCGAGGCCGTCAAGGCCGGCCGCCATGTCAACGCATCAGCACCACCTACAGACGCGAGGACACGTGGCACGTCACCAACCGCTGCGTCCGCCCTCCAACCGCCATTTCGCTCACGGCGTCTCTCCGCATCGGCCGGCCCATCTGGCCGCGCCCAGCAACCTCGTTCTGCTCGGCGCGCCTCAGCCGGTGCGAAACACACCCGCTGCCCTCCTCGAGCCAATTCAGGGTCTCGCATTTGCCGCCTCCAATCGGCGAGCCGCAAGCTTCGGACCCACCGGTCCTCTCTTTCCCCTCGGACGCAGCGTGCCAGAGTCGCCAAGATGCACGGACGCCGCGTCTGTCGTCTGCCCGACGCCCGTCCAACAGTCGCGTAAAGTGCACAGTTTCGACTTTGAGCAGACGACACGCGGCCTGCCTTTGGGTCTCGCACGCATCAACAACCCTCGTTACAGCCCAGCTTCGCTGACGCTCAACTGTTCCACGTCGTCGCCCTACGGCCTCTACTTGAGTGGAGGCGGATCCTCATGCAAGGCCTCGTTCGACGCCGGCAGTGCAGCCCTGCCGGCTGCCGGCGTCTCCGAGGCAACGCAGGAATGTGGAGGCGAGGCAATCGGTGTCCTGGGCGACGTAGAATCGCCGTTGATTGTCTGTCGTTTTGGCGGGTCTTGTGATTCCGCCGTCTCTTCAGTCGCCGGTCTGTCTGACATGATGTTGTTGGGCAACAAAAATTTGATCATTCCACCAGACGTCATTTTGAGCCCAGCCTCACGACGTGTCTCAGCCGTTGGTGACGACCTCGACGCACCGGCCGTGCAAGCGGATCTGGTTCGAGGTCTGTCATTGCGTAGTCTGGCTCGACAAGAGTGCATCTACGACGACGACGACTTGCCGCCAAGGCGATCGGCTGCGGCGTTCGACGAAGAGACGAGATCGTCACCGGCTCCTGAAGACGACGACAAACAGACAGTCAGTCTGAAGCAGAGCGACCTCGGCTTTGAGATGCTGCGTCACGAGGCCGCCGCCACTACTGCTGCATCTGCTGCTGGTGCTGGTGCTAATGATGATGGGGAGGACGATGATGCTGATGATGACGATGACGATGACGAAGAAGAGGAGGAGGAGGAGGAAGATGTGCCCGAGGCGCCAGTGTCCAGCTACTACCATCGGAGGATAGAGTCGCGCGGCAACACGGGTCGATACGAGGCAGAAAGGTTAAAGGTCGAGGGTAGCGCACAGCAGCGAGGTTTGTCGGTGACACATGCGTGTATGAGCCATACCGGTTTCCACGAAACCCCGGGGCCGACTGGCCTCGGTGATGGGGAGGCTGGTCTCCGGCTGGAGACGTCGGAGACGGATGAGTCTCTGCTCGAGACGCATCTGCTGCCGGGTGGCTTAACATGTACAGATTGGCGGTTGGTGGAGGAGAAGGGATCACCACGTGATGTAGCCGAGTCTGTAGACGTGTCTGCTGGCCGACGTGAGCCCTGCCAGTCGGTTGCTGGGTCCTCGGTCTCGGAGGCCAGATATCGAGGCAACATTCGACTTGCGGGTGCCTCCGTAGAGATGACGTCATCAGGTCTGTCTGGTCGACGTCTGCCGGCCGACGCCTCGAGCGGACTGCCGCCTCGAAGCCCGCATCAACCATGGCTCGGTGGGGTCTTTAACTTTAGCGACGAGAGCACCAGTGTTGCCATGGCACCAGACGAAACGTTGGCCAGTCGTAGGTGGGATCGTCACATCGGTGGCGATGATCGAGTAGAGATGACAACAATGACTGCCGAGGCTGCGAATCGCCCACCGGCGAAACAGGTAAAGACGAGCCGAGAAGCGCGAAGAGGCATCTTTTTAGTGCTGCAACAGCGGCGAAATCAGCGCCTCCCCTCGCATGAAGACACTAGCCAGGACAGTCTAGAGACGCTGGAACCAGAAGCGAGTGGAGGTATTGTCGGTATGCGACTACGACGAGAGACCGTCGCAGCCACGACAACGTCTCAGACAACCTCATCCTTCGACTCGGCCACTACGACAACAGGTCCTGACTACAATTGCCCCCATCAGCTGAACGAGGTGATCTCGAGTCGAGGCTCGACCTCACGATCTCGATCATCCGACGAGCAAATCAGTTCGCCCAGCCTCGGGGCTACAGTCCCATTCGTCGGCCTCCGAGTTAACGAGATGCATCCAATCAAGCGTCTATCGGCCAGACAATGGAGATCGCATGGATGCGACTCATCAGTCGGTGTCTCGTCTGCCGACCGATTCGACGGATCTCGACCAACGGTGATCATTTCGGCCGAAAAACGCTCGGATAACAACAACTCCCTCCTTCACAGGGCTCATTCAAAGCCCATCTCCGGGGCGATGGATGCGATGTGGAGACATGGCCAGAAATTTCGCTCCATGAGTCAGTCCCGACTGGAAGAGCTCGAGCCTGGCAACATCGGGCCCTGTCTGTCTGCGGACACCACCAGACCCGACGCTCAACAGCCACAAACCCTGTCCGCCGGCCATCCGGTATCCACGCGACCAGCCAACCCACTCGGAGATCGTTCTTCCCAACTCGGCTCGCAGGCCATCACTGCGGCCAAGTGTCTGATGAAGAAGACGGCGGCCAAGATTCTTCCAACCCGCGAATCCAATCAGTCCGGCTTCGCGGTAACCGGGCCGCCAAATGTCTGGACTTTTCGGGCTGAAACGAATGAAGCACATGATCCCGTTCCACCCGGTGGATCAGGCTCATTCGTGACGGAAACGCTGGCCGACTTGCGTCCACCGGTCCGGCCGAAAGGGAAGAAGCACAAATTCAAGCGCGACTATTCAATTGATGAGTATTCCAATGCACTTTTCAACGCTTTCCTACAAAACGATCCACATCTCGACAAGACTGTCATGCAGGCCGAGACGAAGCGGCGACTTCGCAGCCAACGTGCTCAAATGGCCAGCGCCACGTTGGCGGACAAGCAGAGTCCCCATGACAGTCTCGAGGCTGGCAACACGCGAATTTCCAACAACTCGGCGGACAAAGGCGAGGCTCAAAGCGATTCGCGCAAAGTCGAGGCCGAAAAGCGCAGCTTCAGCCTCGATCCTCCTCTGAAGGAGGGTCTGCGCGCCAAAATACGCCTCACCAAATCGGGATTCGACGCCTCGCCTCTGCCAACTCGCCCTCGAGCACCTTTTAGGGCCGCCTCGACCAGAGGACTGGGACCCTTCCTAAAGCGCTCATAGGCCCCTCAGACAACAGACATAAAAAGTGTCGTTTCTTATTCGGTCTGTCGGAAAATTCTGTACTTGCTACTGTCTGTTTTGCCGCAAGCTAACTCACACATTCTGTGTCCATATTGGCATAAAGCCTGCAACAGTGTGCTTGACAAGCCGCGATGCGCCTTCACCTTTGCCGTTTGACTCATCAAAACAGCCAAATATGCAAGGTCGATGTCTACATTTAAGGTTACTTTTATGTCTACATTCCCATTTTAAAGGGTTTTTTCTTCAATTATAAAACCTATATATATATATTTATATTTATATATATATATATATATATAAAGTGACATTATATTAGTCAGACCTAAACTACCGTGCCTAAGCAAAGTGAAAAGAATGGATGCTTCAAATTCTCCTATTTCAAAGCGGAATATGGGGAAAAGTTACGAAAAATAATCGCACATTATTATAATATTTTATTTGTTGCCGTACATGTGCTCTGTTATCAAGCATCTGCATAGTTATAATTGCAGACTAGCAATTTATCGTTGTCCCTGTAAATAACTTGCTACTTTCATCACGTTTCGTTGAGTTTTTCGTGCAATTGTTGAATCATCCCAAAATTATAAAGTATGCATTACTTGAATACATTTTATTACCAAATTTACAACACGCTGTTGCTCACCTTACCGCCACCTTCTACATGAAAGAGGAGATTTGGCTCCTGGTGAACAAAATAAATAACCTTACTTGGTGTCTTTATACGACTAATTGCAGCCCGGAGGGCAAGGATTGTCCTAAGATCCTATTTTTTTACTCTATTTCATGATAGGAATCGGGCATATCAGACAAAGGGTATTTGAGCATCACTCTGTATAAATTACAACAGCCTCCATTTCACTTGTGGCATCGAATAACATCAATAGTTTCCGAAAAAGACAGAGCCTTTCAACACATCACTAACCTTGATTAAAATTCGAATAACTCTATGTTAATTGTTCATGCAATGCAGAGTTTCGTCCCAGGGTCAAATTAAACTACCATTTCGCACAGAAGAACATTCCTGTCAGTAAAGTATGGATTTCCTAACTTGAATAGCACAATTCTCAAACACCCTTTGAGGCTGTAGACTTATTGCTTTAATATGCCTTATTACTAAGCGTCAAACACAATTTCACGATCTGCAGACGTAATTTATTATCTCTCCGATTTGTATCTATACCGAGTTTTCGGGCCATCCTCTATTCACGTATGGCGGTGGGGAACAGAAATCCAGAATTGCCGCGCCAATTTGACAAGTGGAGAGATAATTGGTCTTCTATTGAGACAAAGATGTTTATTTCATCGAATGTACCAATGCGTCATGTAAAATGTTACAATATAGAATTTAATAAAAATATTGATGAAGAGGCTGCCAGCACATTTCATGCAGCTCATTAGTCTGGCATCTGTATTTAGGCCTAATCGGTTGTTACGGGCAACCTAAGCGGAGTTACAACCCTGAATCCTCGGCTTCTGAACCCAATAAGCTACCGCTTTAGGTCTCACGATGAGCTCAATAAGTCTCGCTCAAATCACACCAAAATTAATGCTACCGAGTGTAAACGTTTGTTTACAATTGAACTCAATATTTTTAACATCTGGGGTTCTCCCTCATGTAATCGCAGTCATGGTGGAGGGACATAAAAGTTAACTTTTTGCTTCGACTCCACGTCCAATTCTATCAGGAATGCTAAAGAGACTGAAGTAAGGGCTTATTTTTATGATAACCTAAAGAAGGATGGATATTTGATCTGCGCAGTGCGAATTATTTCATTGTCAAATTAAGTCTTCCCTTAAATCTATAGTGGATATAAGCACTACCAGGCCATATGTTGTAATAAATAACTAGCATAATGGTGGAATAAAGTTGGATTTAGTTGGTTTTATCTCGTTTACCAAATTTGGTCGTGCTTAACTGACGGTATGAGGATCAAGGTAATGTGGCCCCTTATTACGATCGCACTCCCCCTTTCTTTTACAGAAGTTTTCTGATTTTGCTTTCTCAACTTGGTCGTATTGTTAGGGCGTCGTTTAGAGACGCATCTCGTCCAGAATCCATAGTATGCATTATTATTTCCAAAATCTAACCGTGACCAGACATTTCGCCGGCATCGTGGTCATGCCTATTGGCAGGCCCTAGTTTCTAGACTCAAATCCCATCTACTGCAATTTCGGTAAATTATTTTCGTACACCATCCCAGTCTGTTTGCCAGCATCGTAGATAGATTTTCACTGAGAAGCCTCATGATTATCCCCCGAGTCGACACGACATCTGGAAATGCACCCAGTCAATTATCCGCTGCTGGAGCACTCATCGAAGCACTGACAGCGATTAAAGTTAGTAGGCATCATTTAAAGTTTATCTCAGAAAAGGTTGAGTGGCGAAGATTAGGTCAAAATGACGATAAAGACAGATAAACCTGCAAACAAATATGAGGTTTAAAAATTGGTCCTTATGTCTTGAAAAAACGGGCTCTATTGTGACTAGATCTGTATTTGTTACCGATGCAGGAATTTGTTAAAGCGAATCAAACCAAACATCTCCAACCTTAATAAACTCTCGCTAAGTTGCGTTCTAATTAACAATTTCAGGTTAGCTGGCAAATGTGAGGTATTTTCGTATTTATATAAAGTATTGTTTGGGGGACTTTCATTTCATATTAAAGTGAATAAAGAAGAGATTAGTTGGTCGATCGCACCAGATGAGGACGGATGAATCTCGTTGTGCTGCAGCCGTTTGGCTTTTATACGATATTCATGTTGACGCAGTCCACGAGACTTCTTCCCTCGTTTCTGGTGAAAGCGTGCTGAGCTTTCGTCCATCATGTGATTGACATCATCAGAGCTGGGTGTCATTCTTGTAAGAGTCTCACGTCAACATGAATATCGTCTAAAAGCCAAACGGCTGCAGCACAACGAGATTCATCCGTCCTCATCTGGTGAGATCGACCAACGAATCTC